GAAGGAAGGAAGGAAGGAAGGAAGGAAGGAAGGAAGGAAGGAAGGAAGGAAGGAAGGAAGGAAGGAAGGAAGGAAGGAAGGAAGGAAGGAAGGAAATTTACTGAAGCTAAATCTTTTAAGGTAATAATCCCTAAAATAGTTGTGGAACAAGAAGTTGGAGACTTCCAAAGGTGATAGAGTAGGCAATGAGAAAACATACCAGAGGTTTTAAAGCCTATAGCTGCTAAAGACTTCCATTCTGAAGAAAAAAATTAATTTAAAAAAGAATTTTGAAGTAGGAAGTTCTGCAGCTGAGTTTTCACTCATAATGACCCAACAACTTAGTGGACCAGTAGAAATAACAGAAGCATCTATCTTACAGAGCAATAGGTGAAATTTGACGATTACAGATGAGACTGGATTTGAAAACAAATTCACAAGCTGTCCTCTCACGAAAATCTTGGTCACTGATATTATGTGATGAGGCTCAGGCAGCAAACAAACGCTGTGGAGATTCTTGAAGGACACAGCTGAAAAGTTAGAGAAAGTGAACGGGATTGTGACTGTCCAGGAACTGAAAGGGAAGCCAAAGAAGTGAGAATGGAAGCAGCTACATCAGAGAACTGCATTTTGAACAACTGAAATATTTGATCTGTCTCACGTGTGAGTGGAACAGAAATAGCAAAATACACTTTCTATCCTAGGAATTCATGCCTGGAACATGGGGGACAGTGAAGTTAATGAGGTATGAACATGATTTTTTCATCTTCTCACAATTTATCTGGTCCTGAATGATAGGCAGTATGCACACCTGAAGTGTGAATATGAACACACTCATTGCAATAAAAACACTTTTCCCATCTGACACATTTTTTTTCCTTATCAGCCATTTGGGTTGATCATAATTTAAGTGCCAACACATGAAAATGATCCCCTAGCACTGATTATACAGGGTAAAAATGACAGGAGACCATCAGAATAGGAAAGCAGATCAAACATACTAATAGAATCCAACCTTTGAGGACTCTGATATAAACAAGACGAAGTTTTTGTGCTCCTTGAAAACAAGATCTCTTATAACCATACCACTTGTTGTTTTGTAAAGGAGAAGTTAGAAAATAATGTGAAAAACATATATCTTTTTGTCTTAACATGGTACCAAGAACGAGCCAAAGCTGAAGCTGTTTCCTGCACATTTTAAGGATGGGTGGATCTTCTCTCCAAAACAATCTCCAGCTGCTGATGTTGTCTAACGCAACAAATTAAGTTTCACAGCATTAGGCAAATTTTAACTGGAGTGCTTCACTAAGCCACTATTGCAACTGATAGGAGCCACCTGGGCCCTGGAGTTCAAGCCTAGGTCTGAAAACGTCAGCCAAATTGAAGAAGTTTATAAAGCATAAACAAACAGAAATCAAAACATAAAAGTAAGCCACACAGAATATCAGCATCCAATTGTGAAATATGACTGATTTAACATCCTGTCCAATATAAAAACAAATATTTGGGGGGTGTGAATTAATAACTGAAATTATAACCAAAACAAACAAATGAAATGACTTTATTCAAACCAAACATTTCCATGGCTCTGTGCCAAAATTGAGGATGGCAACCAACACGAATGTCTCCGGTCGCATGGTCTAGTATTTTTCTCTGCCACTGGTTGCCATGTAATGAGAGCAGAGAATCTTTGCTGTTACAAGACTAACACAAACTGAAATGGCTGATCAGAGCAGGAGACTTATGTCCAAACTTGGACCTTAGGAAGAACAATACAGACAGCTTGAGGAGCTCAGTCTTACAAAAAGATGTTATGGGCAGTGATCAGAAAGAGATTTGAAGAAGGGATCCCAAGGCTCAGCAGGAGCTCTCAGAGGCAACTAGTTTACAGTTCTATCACCAGCTTCCACAGATGTTCCGGTGTTCTCCTCTCTTCTCAGCAGGTCCTCCTCATCACCTGGGTGTTATGGGGAATATGGTAGCATGAGCAGTCATTGCTGCTTTTCCCTTTGCTCCACACTTGAAGGCAATGCCTGCAGTTCCTCACCTGGTGTTCACTGTTAGTCCTTCACTGTGAGTAGAGGCTGGAAGACACAAACACACAGAGCCAAGTTTTTGAGCCATCAAAGGGAAGTATATTGTGCAAAACACTGCTGCACTGGCCCGCAAATCTCAGAATTAGCCACCAGAAGAAATCTGGTCTCCCTTGACAGAATCTCTCTCTATAGTATGACACGAGAGCACAGATCAGTACAACAGATGTAACTTCATGAGCTACCACCTGAAAAGGAAATCTTGGTGTTCTTCTCAAGCCTAGAATACCATTTTTACTATTTCCCAATCTTTTCACATACTTGTCTAGCAGTTCTGCATCCCTTACCTCATATCAGCACGCTTTTGTCTCTTGCTTTCTTTCTCTGTCCATTACTTATTTGTTTGCATAGGAATCCTTAACCTCGGCTTCCTAAAGACTCTGAGGACATGGGTACAGGAGAGACGAGGGTATAAAAAGCATGAGGTATGTCAGAAAGTTCATGCTCATCTTTGAAAGGCATGAACTGTTGGTAAGAAAGAGTTTTCTTCCTCCCAATATTAAAGAGTGAGATTTTAACTCTACATACTGCAGCATTTTCCTACTTAGGCACACTACAGAAAACATTAATGTCGGCTTTACTTCTTTGACTTAGGAGTCCTTAGACATTCCTTTAAAAAGAAAAATCCAAAACACTTAGAAAAGAACAAGTTTATTTTGGACAGCTTGCATTTTATGGTTAATCGACTAGGTAAAGCTCGTCCTGTACATTTAGCACATCAGCTTGCCATGTGAGCGACAGTTGTTGAGAGCTATGTTTATTAAAAATATTGCTAGATTTTTAAAAATATGCTCTCCTTGAAAGCCCAGCATAGAGCCAAACATCACAGAGCACAAAGGATCTGGAAAGATGTTTAGGGAGCAAGACTGCCAGCTGTGTCACTGCACAGAAAGGCTGGAACACAAATTAGGAACCAAACTGTCAACTATGTGTATTAAGATAGGATGCCAGTCCAGAAACCTATCCCTTGGCAATTTGCTGATATTAAGGAAACAAAGGCACATGAGAAAGGCAGCCAACTTCAACCTCATCTTCCTGTTTTGAAGAGACTTTTGAGTCTTTCTTTTCCTACAGAAAGGCATAGAAGAGTTTGCCTTTTCTCACAGATTGGCCTGGAATCACTTTGTATGAATTCTTCTTGCGAGGCTACCTTGCAGACCCAGTGCAGAGATGGCCACTCCTATGTCTACATAGAAATAGGTGGATTCCTACCGTAAGGGCAGCTTGTGGTCATTGCTGCAATTCAATTTATTTCATAAATGTATACACTTATGTGAAGTTTTATCATTTCTAAGCTAGAGGCGAGTTGTCCATCACTCCTTTCTAGAAGTTTGGGTTCACTAAAGGGAACAGAAACCTGATACTGGTCAAGAAGTGTTGATTCTCTGGTGAACATGTTCAATGCAGTGAATAACCACATATAACAGAATGAATCTCCTTCAATTTCTGCCTGACAGGAGGTATTAAATCAAAATATCTGTTTGTATGTCTTTCCACATATTTACATACTATTATGTCACCCATGACTGTACCTCAAAAATATTAATACTTCTGTACTGAGAACACAAGGAAAAAATACGATTTTATAAATATGATTCTGAGTCAGGGGAATATCATAGGAGTAGTGTAAAGAAATTTATGGCATATCAGCACTATAAAATTCAGTGCCATGGAGACTTTCCCAGCACAGCTTAGGTCAGATACCAGCACCTAATCCGCCCTACTTCCAAGCAGCAGGAATGAGACAGAGCAGAGCACCAGGCTGACGGACAGCACTGCTCAGGGACCTGGGCTAACACTAGTCTGGGCTGTTTCATCAGACCCACAGTGAGCCTGGGAGAGAACTGAGAAACGTGCTCAGACCTCCTCATCCAGTGTTAAAACCTGGAACTTCCTTTCTCCCTGAAAAGCTCCAACAATCCTAGAAACTCTGATTTCTTATCCCAAAGCACAGAGGGAATTTCCAACCCTAGATTGGTGTCCAGCCTTCTCTCGATAATATATAGCACAACCAAGAAAGGTGATAAATGGATAGAGTTTATTTATATCCTTGGGTGAGCGACACCAGCAAGCCAGGACAGCTGCCACCCGAAGGCCGAACTTTCCTCCCCCATCTTTTTTGGCACAGTTTCAAGTTGGCTCGTTGGACTGCGTGAGCAAGGGAAAGCAGCAGGTTCCAGCTCACAAAATTCCACCTGGGAGGCAACAAAAACAGGACACACACAACGGCATTCATTCGAGTGAAACCCCCTTGTATGAAAGGAGCAATTAGCAGCCTCATTAGCAAACGCAGATGAAGGTGTGAGCACTTCCCTGCCCTCCACGTCGCAGACAAGACACCGGGTGGGCTCCTCACCCCGACTGCTAGTACCCCTGTGCACCCAACAGTCTTCTTGCAGCTCCTCACTCCCTGGTTTGAGGTAGCACTCTCTTCTCTGGCTCTTCCCCACACATTTCCTAACTCCAGACACTTTTTAGCCTCTTCACACACATTTTGGCTTCTATTTTTAGTCCCAATATAAAATAATGCCAGATGAAAACAAAATCCATTTTGGATGAGTAGAGTCATCCGCTCTTCAGGTAGCTTAATGCCAAGATGCGAGACAGAAGAATCCAAGGAATTACATAACTTCTCCTAGTCTTTGCACACCTGATTTTCAATGCCATTTCCAACAGAGCAAATAAATTCAGGCAGCTCACCATCATCTCACTACTGAGCACACACAAAGCTCAGCTCCAGTCGGGCAAAAATGTTAACTGCCTCAAGCCATTACTTATCCCATTTAGAAATGTCTTTGTGTCTCCCAAAAGCAAAGGATCCTAAAATTCAAGCTGTGATCGAGTTCTTAAATAAGGAAGCCAATTTCTAGATTTTACTTTTCTTCCCTGGTGTTCCAGAGACTTGGAATGTACTTTCAAGAGAGTGTGACCAGTAACCACAGGAAAATGTTCCTTCCTTTCATAGAAAAAAAGACAAAAAAAAAGCAGGCTGTTCTCCCAAGTTAAGGAATAAATGTAATTTCAGATCATTAGTGAACATAACTCTCAGTTCTAGCTGAGAGGTGGTGGCTGAGTTTGATTTTATCTCATTAATATTGTTTGAGAAAGGGTTAGAACTCCACTTTTGGAGAAGAGCCTCACACTCTGCTGAGATTTAATGAGACCTTCACACAGCTGTCTGATAAGTGGATAAACTCACACAAATACGAGCATGTCTTGCTGTTAATTTTAGAGCTGTACCTTGATGGTGTCTGTATTCTAAAGGTAATTTGACAGAGATGTTAATATTATCTGCTGATTGTTAGTCACACAGTAATAGTTCCCCCTCTCATCCAAAGAGTTCCGAGAAACGTGTTAAGGAGAAGATCTTTCTTTTCCTCTTTTCTCTTTTAATCTACCTGGTGCTACAGGCTAATCTGAACTGGAATAATTACCTATTAATAATTATAGCAGGAACTTTTCCTCCTTGTTCACCCTCTTTATGGAACTGTAGATGTCAGCAGGGAATACAAAGAAGCTCCTGGATGTTTCTATGATACTTGCAAGAACAATGGTTTTAGAAAGATAATTCTAAGAACAAACGTGAAACCCAACACCCTCCATTATAACTGATTCTTTGTCCTCTCTAAAAGGAATACACAACAGCAGGATTCACCTCATCTTTACCACATCAAATTCCACTTCTTTCCAAAGTATGATGAAATGGCCTGTGTTTCTCAACAACCCTTTCTATGCAGGCAGCCAGCAATAGAGGAGGGCAGAGAGGCTGACAATGCTCTTCCTACTGTTGCCAAAGGCTGTATCGGAAGGCAAAAGGCTGCACTGGAAAGGTTTGATCCAGTGCTGGAATTCAGACCACTCTTCTCTTTCAGCAGCTTGCAGAGGGCTTCTCATCCAGACAGGAGGTTCTCGAAAGATTTATGAGGAAGAGCTCATCATTATTCTCTTCCTAAATGAGGATAAGCTCATTGCTTATGACATCAAAAGTTGCTCTTTCATGTCATAAGATACTTCATATGCCTGAGTAGCCCAAGTAAGCTGAGGTTGAGGTTACTCGAGGTGCTCCTTTGAAGGTCACCTTTCAAAGTCAAGGCCACTTGTGCAGTCAGTCACGGCAGTGACAGAAGACCAGAAGGGTGGCAAAAGAAGAGCTGAAATAACAGGATTAGCGGGAGGGAGGAGGCACAGTGCGGAAACTCGAGGGATTTCTGCTTCCAGCTGCTCCTGATGAAGGATTCAGATACTGTCAGTGTGGTGAGACCGGCTGAAACTGTAGCCAAAGTTCTTCTAGGGAATGTGGTATCAACATAAAAATAAATGCACTGGTGCTCAATACTTAACGCCTTCCGAGGCTGCGGAGAGGCTGGCAGAAGCTGCGGAAGCCTGGCCGGGGTTGGGCAGCTGGGAATTCCACCGTAGTGCAGCAAATGGCTGGAGTCTGACACAGGCCATGCCGAGTGGCTGTGCTACAAATCCTGTTGCTCCAAGAAAACCAGGCGGCAATGGCTGGTAAATGAGTCTCCAGACTCCGGGCATTTTCTGTTGTTAGATCTAACAAATAATACTGAATTTCTCTCCTTGACTTCATATAAAAGAGTCTGGATTTCAAGAATAATACTCATCTAAGCAGCACTCTACCTGACCACAGCTGCTTGTACATTCATCTTACCTGGACTGGGCATTTGGGCACTTCTCCCCACCTCAGCCTAAAGGGAAACACTAGAAAACGAGAGAACAGCAGCCTGCCTTCTATGCGCGTGAGGTCAAAACAGCTCAGCAATCCTCATATTCTTCAAGTAGTTTCTTGGCAGTTTAGGGTCCAATTCCAAGCCCTCACAGATGATGATACATTTTAATTTCAGAGTCTCATACTGTCAGGAGGTGGCATGCAGAAAGATATGGGGGCCAGGTGAATGCCTCAAGTAAGCAGACAACAGTGCATCATCCTGCAACCAACTCAGGTTAAGTACTCAGCAAGCACAGGGAATAAAAACAACAGCATGCCTAGCTCAAGAAGTTTCCTCACTAGCTCACTAAGCCTCACAGGGACTGAGTTTTGACCCTAATCTTCTGCAAAAAGTCCTGCCAAGTGAATAGAAATAAATAAAAGTTTTGGGTTCATTGTTTAGGACAGACCAGACAGAGAAATAAGAATTTATATGAATTAGGAGCCCTCAGTGCTCTCGGATACTGATGGAATATTACAACTTTTGCCTTCCCGAGTCAATAACTCCAATGTTCTTTTGTCCCATCACACTCAGCTGAAAAGCCATGTGGGCTTTAGCAATATAAACATTAGCGCAACAGAACTGCATCGCTGGGAATGAAAAGGTGAAAGTCCTGTTGAGTCTGGAGCCAGGCAAAAGTCACGCAAACTTTTAATCACGATTCATAGTTGTCTGTAATTATATAGGTTATTAGCACATTATTATATTTTCACCATGGGAAAACAGAACCCTGGAGGGAGTCTTTGTTCTGAAGCTTAAAAAAAAATAAAAGAAATAAAAATCTCACAAACACTCAAGAAGTTGGCAGCAAAGGAAAGGGAGAAACACAAAGAGATAGATTTCTCTCATAGTTGCTGTTACTTTTACAAATGAAATCAGCCAAGGTCATTACCTTGTGTATCCACTCCACAACCGCACCGAGGGGTTAACTAAACTTTCCGACTGTTCCTGCATCCTGGCTCTTGCTGCGGACAAGAGTTGAGCTCAGGAAAAGGAAAGCTGCAGGGCTAGGCTCTTCTGTTTTCATAGAAGTTCCCTTTGTTGCCTCTTCTCCTTAAAACCTACATTTTGTTGGCATTTACAAATAAAAGGATGAATAACAAATATAATAAATATCTAAGTGTATGTGGCCTTCCAACTAGCTACAGAACTTCCTTGGTGTTTCTTGCCAGTTGTTCAAAAGCTAAATTCTGGTGGAGGACAGACATTTTTAACCTAGAACTTGACTTGCTTGAGGAAAATAATTTAGATATTATTCACCCAATGCTACAAAGGAACAAAAAAAAAAACCCAAAACAAAATAAAATAAAAATGCAAGATGGAGCAACTGCTTCCATATGCTTAACATTGTTAATATAGAGAAAAACTGACCAACACTTAGGTTTCTTCCTGAACCATATGAGCTTCATAAAGCCAGCCTGGAATACTTAGCTTAGCTGCTACTCAGCAAGCTATAATGAAGAAGACTTGGAAAACAGAGGATTTCTCATCATTCTATTTCACTAACAGTGAATGAATTGTTAAATTCCATGGAACAGAAAGCAATCAGAGTAATACTGGGGGAGCCTCAACGTTCCTCAGGATAAAAATGCAACGGGATTACTGTCCTAGAGTTTATATTTCAGAACAGACACACGAGTACACCAGCGACTGTGGGTGCTCAATATCAGTGCAAAATCGTATCAGAAATATTTTGAATGATCCCTATAGGTAGCAATTCTTAGTAATTTTTAATAGAATGTATCCTGTTCAATTCAAACTTCCAAGAGTTGAGAGGAAGGTTATTACACATAAACCCCAAGTGATAGCTCACAGATTTAGAACTTTAAACCTTCCTGTCCGTAGGTACTCCTAAGAACTACTTGACGGAAATGTTGACTTTTACTCTACATCATCTTTCACCTGAAGAGATCTGAGTAAATCCCTTCAGCCTTTCCTATAACCAGTACCAACCATCAGGGATCTGTCTCCTGGACAACCTGGTTAAAAGTTTCCATACTGCCCAACTCTCCCTTCCTTTGAGTATCACCCTTGCTGAGCCAGCACTCATCCAAAAGCAGCTCCTAGAGCACAAACGGTGAGGAATGGGGTACAGCTCCAAAGCCTGTCTTGATACAGCTCCACAGCGCCAGATACACCAACACAACTTCCCAGTGACGGTGACTTTACCGGCCTCTCCCACTCCAAAGTCACACAAGGGCCCAGTCCAACAGTGTGCAAAGGCAGACCTATGCTACTCAAATGACTTGCTCATTCTTCCAAGATGTTTTCTTCACAAAACCTGCCTGATACAATGCTATGAAATAGCTGTACCAACGCTCAAATTAATTGTCCCACAGGGTTCTATTAAATGAAGGTCTATTCAAGTTTCTCAGACATTTTTGATCATTTATGTTTATTTTTATGCAGAGGTTCTGCCTGGTTCCTCTTTTAGCTCCCCAACTTTAAGAACTGAAAAGCAGCAGGCCATCTCATTTATTCTGCAATTTGCTTTATGAGTTGTATTTTCAGTCTCTCTAGTTGCTATGCAGGATACTAAATACATGTGGAACTGTAATCCCAAATAAGCTGTTGATGAGGGAAATCAGGGCTGATTGTAAGCAATCAATAGAGAGAGTGAAGAAGAAAAACAGCTGCTCCTGCAGGAAGGACCAGAGCAGTCTGAGACGCACAGACTGGGCACAGCAGTCTCTGACGCATACCAGTGGCTTGGTGCAAAGCTGAAGAAAATATCATTCCCCCCCATTTTCCAAGAACAAACACAGTTTTGCTCTACTTAGCCCAATCACTGCAGTATTTAGCACTATTCCTGGAGCTAGATGCGTCTCCTAAGGACAAGAAAGCTTCCAGTGACCTATCTTCATGATCCAGCCTACCCATAGTTAAAGTAGGGTTCTATTTAAGCTCTGCCATTCTCAGTTAAATGCACGTTCAATGCTTTTTTTTTTTCTCTTATTTTTTTCTTTTCAAATTCAGAGACTGTAGCCCAATGCAGCTAGCAGAATCCTACAGAAAAATAAAAATCAAACTAAAAGACCAGGAAATCATGAGGTAAAGTTTGCAGTCCTCACAGGATGCTAGGTACTCCTGGAGAGGGTGATCCCCCTCACCTTTGTTATTCAGCCTGTATTTTTGTTGCAACACTTGTTATTGCTCTCTGCCATCAATGTTATTACCAATCCTCATACTTGCACAAAAACAGAGGTTAGAAAGGCACCCTCCTACTGCCTACAGTTGCTGCACACACAGGTATGAACAAGAGTACCCAGAGCAGAGGCAGAGTCTCCAGCAGAGGTTAGAAGTTACAGGACATGGTAGAGAGCTCTGAAAATTATAAGAAAGGCAGCACAAACATCTCCATGTAAATCCACTCAGCAAAGCAGTGAGATCATATAGAGAGATCTACATTTTTACATTTACCAATACATCTATATGTAACCTGGCTTTACATACTGTACTAAAAACTCAGCTTAGGCTACACAGCAAACCAGAACTTTTCCCTCATCTGCACATATACTAACATTTTGACATTATTTTATTTATTTTGATAATTCCATTATACTCCGTTCCTACATTTCATGTTCCAATGCGCTGTAGGGTCTTTTTTTTTTTTTTTTTTTTATTGACCATGGCTATTTACCCTATAAAATCTCTGGTAGGATGGCTGGAGTTTTTGGCAGGTGGTAAAGCGTGGGTGGCAACTTGGAACTGCACAATATGTGCATTAGCCGAATGTTTGTGCTAGAGGATCAGCAATAAAATCATTGACAGTAACACTGGAAATGTCATCTTTAAGTTTCCGAGCTAAATAACCACGAGATGAACGAGGCAGTTCACTCCTGTGCAAACTTCTCCTTCAGCCTTTGAAACCACAAACAGAAACCACTGTATTAGTGATACCCAAGTCATGTTTTCAGGGTTTTCACAGCAAAATTAAAGGTCAGAAACACAATTCTTTCAAAGCATGCTGGAGTGAAATTTGGCTATATATTCCATCACAGCACCACCACAAATCACCCTAGGGCATGGGCAAAATACCATGCATGACTTAGGGATGTCAAGACTAAAATCTACTGAAAATGGTTCTGCATCGATGAAAAATGGGTTGGCTCCTCATTTCCTGCGATTCTACCATCAGAGACTTTCCAGATAAAGTAATCACTAGGGAAGGATGAAGATTTGATTCTATAGTTTCCATGATTTTCCTTTGCAAGCTTCTACCTCTAATGATTGCCTTCGCTATGCAGCTGATTCACAGGTCTCAATTAAATCTTTCTGAATTAAGGGGCTTTTCTGCAAGAGCAAAGAAAAATGTAAAGAATGTCCTGGCCCTTTATAAAAGGCTAGACTCAAACAACAGAGCTTCTTTGAGCCAAGGCCCAAAGCAAAGTGGGGCCATTTTAGCCAAGTTTTTCTTTTTTCCCAGCCATAGTTTTAGGGATCTTCTTCTTCCAACTCTATGAAGTTCAGGCTTTGCTCCCTTGATTTTAATCTTTTTCCTCTCAGGAGGAATAAATTCCCCAGGCAGATGATCCCAAGCTGTTACCTAGAAACCACTACATGCCGGGCAGGCAGCTGTGTTTCTTTCTTTGCTGAGAAGTTAATTTTTTCTCTGTCAGTTCTTAAGATGAAAGCATCCCAGCATCGGCCTCTTCCCCCTTCAGGACTGGCACTCACCTGTGGAATTTGTCCCTGGCTCGCAGGGTGCAGCGCTGTTAAGGCTGTTCTGGAATCCGTTTAGCTGCCTTTCCATGGAGGTCACCCTGACAGGCAAAAGCATCAGATTAGACAGAGATGAGAAGGGAAATACCAAGGAAGAATAAAGGTCCTGAACAAAAAATAGAGTGTTGTAGTTTACATAATTGCACTAGGGCTGCAGCTATGGAGCTGTGTGAACACAGCTTAAAATGGGCAGCGACAGCAAACAGCTCCAAGCAGGCAGAGGGAGACAGATGAGCACACAGCCACCACCAAGACTTCCCTGCCCCTAAAGCACTTAGTTGTTCCACCTATCTGGGAAGCTGATTTTGAAGGATGAGATGGGAAATGACACTGGACTGCAAAAGCACAACACAACCAGTAAAGCTGTTATCACCTTACTCCAGTGGTTTGAGGCACAGTGACTAAGCAATACATGGAACAGGACTGCACACAAGAGGGTTGGTAAATCATATGATGTTGAAATGGAAGCGTTGCACTTGCACCTCTTCTCAGCAGAGGCAACTCACTGAGGCAAGATTTATTAATTGCCTTAAACGTTGAGGGAGCCTCAATCTCCAAGAAGCCAGTGCCAGTCCTCAAACAGGTATTTCATGCAAATACACCTACATTTAGCTCAATATTTGAGATAGAGTAAAACTCTTCCCTGGTGGGTGCAACTAAACTTCCTGTGTTACAGAGATGGATTACTAAAAGAAGTCCATCTCTTCCTATGTAAAAATGGGCTTACTCATAAGAGGAGTCAAAATGGAATCTATTCTGTTCTTAAGAGCTATAGAATCCATCCATTTATTTTTGGTTTGCACTGTTAACTCCCTTGCTGCTCTCCAGCCTAGCACTGTTCTCATCACTTTAGCCTTCTGCACTTAGCACTCTTTCTTCCCTGCCAGAATCCTTATTCCTTCACTCATTCAGCTCTGCTTTGTTATACAGAGTTACTCATCACTCTTTCTCAGGAGAGCCCAGTAACCTTCAATCCCCATGTGAGGCCCTGATGACTAACAGACCCAGGAACACGTGTGCAGTTTCTATAATGTTGCCTGAAACCTTTTGCCTTCAAATTTCAAAATTTACAAGTTGCCAGTTAACCAGGTGCTCCTGGCAGTTAAAAGGCCAGTGATGGACTCTTATATTTTCTTGCAGTTGGATCTGAGCAAAATCAATTGAAGTCCAGATGAGAAGAGGCAAGGGGGAGGCAGGGGGAATTTCCACATCAGAAATATTTGCAAAACATAGCCCCCTACCTCAATGCAGTCATAGTTTGAAAAGTATTGTCAAATGTGTTTATTTCCATGTGTATTGCCTCTTAGAGAGAATTCTGGATTTGTACGTATGGTTTCTTTTGCTGCTGATACTGGTCCAACTAGGAGCTGAGAATCCAGATGTACTCTCTAAGCCTCTTATATAAAGATTACATGCTCATATTTAGCTTGTCCATGTTGTTAATGCTGTATGACTTGGGGTCATCCTTCTCTAGATAAAATGAAGTATTAGTGGTTGAAAACATTATCAGGAATATCACCAAGTAAAACAAAAAGTTAACAGGAAAGAGTCACACTTCTACCTTTAAGTTTGCTTTCCCTCTAGAAAATCCCTTTCCTCCTACAGACTTGTATCTTTTCTTTTTTCTACCCTTACTTTATCTTCACTCTTATGGTTTCAACTATCACCTCCACATAGCTTATTCTCACATCTACCTGTGTCCTAGGTATTTCATCACCCTTAAGTTCACCCCTCACATTCCCTCTGTCCTAATGGAAATTCCAGTGCGAGAACATACTGCTTAAACAGAGTTAATCTCTCCACTTCCTTGTTCCTTTTTTTTTTTTTTTTTTTTTGGCTAAAATCCCACTGTTTTTCTAATTTCTCTGAATTTAATGTGTCATTTGTGCTTCCATTTCCCCAATGCAAACCATTGCTAGTTTCTCCATCTCTTCTTTAATACTCACAAAAACAGACTTTCCTCACTATCCAGTCCACTTAAATATCTATTACTGGCCTTTTTTCTTTTAGTCTTTTATACACAACCTCTCCTTGAAATTGGCACAGCCTTTCTTAATTCAGGCATTAAAACACTCCTAGGCTGCCCAGTCTTAGATTGCATATGTGGAGGATGCTTTTGAGGCACAGGTAGAAGACAAATCACATTTTCCTGGCTAAATTTTTAATACCTTTATAGTAACAATCGAGGTGGTTAAGATGCTGTGAAGGAACCTAGTGGGCCAGGAGGAACAGAAAGGATGGTGACAAATTCCCATTACACAATGCCCAAGTTTGACAAGAAGAGAGCAACAGAAGTGAAGAGCAGAGCCAGGGAGGCTTGTTGCTCTTGGACAGGCCGTCTCTGCCTGCGTATGATCCCAGGCTAGCCAGGGGCTAAGAACTACAGGCCTCATAAGCCCAGCTGTGACAGGGTGTTAAATCAAGCCACCTCTCTTACATGCATTGCTATTTCTGCCCAAAATGTCCAAGGGGCAGGCATCTGATTAACCCAGATGATCAGGAGCTAAAAAACCAGGCATGCCTCAGCACAGCAGTAGCCAAACGTGAAAGGGGTCCCAAAACAGTGACCTGCTTTTTCTCCTGCTGCCCGTCTCCTCCTCACACTGGGCCCTCAGCTTGTGTGTGGGATAGACCCTGCTCACTTGAGACACTTCACATGTGCCACTGAATAACCATGCATGGAAAAGACAGGAAACAAAGCAGAAGCACAGGATTTTACAGAGCCATTTCTGTGGTCATTCCTCTACTTTTTTCACAGTTGCCAGGCTGGGCCAGCCTGTCCTAAACCACCAGGATGCTCCCACTTCTGACTGCAGCCAGGGCATCACCCAGCTGTGGGATGGACTTTCTGAACCCTGCAGAAACACATCACCTCTACCTTATTTCTATACGGGTTACAACAGAGCAAAGCTTTGGATCTTCTACTGCTAGTGCCATTCAAAGCAAATATACAGAAGAAAAACAAGGTGGAAAGATTGTGTGTCAAGTTGTTGTGACTTCAAGAGAGTACTGAAAGGTTTCTTTCAGTAATGGGAATAACATTCACATCAAAATTCAGCACATGAATTTATGCTGTGTTGAACAACATTCCTGATAGTTTCTGATGTTCCAGTCTGCTGTTGGTAAACTCAATGTTCTTCCTGGGATCTCTCACATAACATAACATAACATAACATAACATAACATAACATAACATAACATCTTAATCTGAGTGCTTGATTTTTTTTCTCCCAGGTATTTCCTCTCTTTGTATATAGTGGCCTAGCATTGATGCCTGAATTCTTCTAAAATGTTTTCTTTGACTGACTGCTCTGTTCACACCTTGCTCTGCTTGATGCTGTCATAGTTCTTACCTTAGAGAGCAGCTCTCTAAAAAGTTACCATAGGAATAGTAAACAAAAATTTTTGCACTACTGTTACTTAGTCATTCTTAAAAGAAGAAAAATTTTCCTTTTATCTACCATTTGAACAAATGCACTCTGGCTTCTGACAGTAGAACTAATATCTATTTCTGCTTTGCATGCTGTGATCAGTAATACAAAGGTTCTGTATACCAAATGCTGCTTCTGTGGACATCTGCTTCGTTTTACACAAATGCTATTTCAGTGACCTCTGTCTCAAAACTGTGCTTTAGGCTTCGGGGACATCTGCTTCATCCATGTCTTACAAATGCTATTTTTGTGACCTCTTGTCTCACAATTCTGCTTTCAGTTATCAATAGGTCTCTTCAGGAACAGATGACATGGCTCAGAAACCTGCAAATACTAATGGCAACATGCACAGTAGAAAGCACACTTGGAAAGAAAGAAAGAACTACTCATGGGGGTAGCTGTTCAGAAACTATCTTTCCTTGTAATCTGAGCATATTTAATCAAAAATATGGAGCCCCATGGGATCATTTTATGGGGTTACATGTCTGAATAGATCATATATTAAACCATTCCTCCCAGTTGCTGTAGTCTTTTTCCACACCTTAATGTGGGCCCCAGTTTTCCACACCGGTAGCTTAAGGAAGGAGTCTGCTTTAGACATGATCCACTATAAAGTCAACCTACCACCTTTTACAAGTTGAGAGTCAGAAAGCAAGACAGAATGGGAGTAGAAAAGAGTGAATTTTCTGGCTCTTCCACTACTCTTTTTCCTTTATGTTCTAAACCAACGAGGTGTCCAAATTACAAGATAGTTTTTGAATTAGTCAGTAATGTTCATCTTTAGCATCTCATTCTGTTTCTAGTTGATTTTTTTCTCTTATTCTTTGCCTCCTCTTCTGCAGGCCACGTGTGCTGGCTGGGAGAGCAACAATAATGCATGCAAGGAGGAGATAGGTCAAAAATACAAAGTTGATTCTCATTTGTCTTCACAGTCCAGTCTCTGGAGAAATTCTACAAACAAGTTTGAAAAGAAGATTTTTATTAAGATGTTCAACACCAGCCAGGAGGTGCAAAGTGCAGATGGAGAAATAAGTCCCAGCTTACGGGAATTTAAGTAAAAAATGAGACACAAGAGTTTTAGCATCAGAAGGAACGAAATAAGATTAGTTTCAGTGAGTGTAAGTCTTGTGGAAATGATATACAGCACTGTGCCCTTCTTTGAGGAAAGAGGTCAGGAAAGCTGCCAAAGGGAATTAGGGGTGAACGCAGGTGGCAAATCAAAGATGACCTGACAGAGAAATGAAGCAGCCAAAAAGCCAATATTACATTAGATTTTATGGAGAGGGACAGTTGTCATGTTATAACCTAAGGATACAGCAGACCCACACTGAGAAAGTATAATTCTGGGTGCTACAATGCTCTGACATTTGTATGCTCTGACATAGAAAACTCTGACAAACTGAAGAAAATACAGTAAATTCAAGAGGCAATTAGTACTTGGCAGGTGGAACTACCATCTGAGGTTAACAAACTCTCAACAAGTCTAAGCAATACTAGGAATCTCCGAGAAGTAGAAGAATATTCAAAAGATGGAAAGTATTTGCAAAGGAAACTGTTTAGGGTGGTTCAGGATGGAGAAACAAGGTATAATAGCATGAAACAAAGGATAAATTCAGACTGTTCATTCTAATAATGAGGTTGTTTAGAATCTCATGGTGGGATTTCTGCCAATGGAGTTTTTTTAAAAGCAGACTACACACAGTGACAGAAGGTATAGAATAATCAGGGATGGTAAAGAGCAAGCCAGAGCATGCAAGGCATCTTTTTCATCTCTATATTCCTTTGAGGCAGAGGGTTCTCTTCACTCATTCTCCTCTGTTGATGCATCTCTGTTTTTTTCCCTGACAACAATAGATGGATTAAATTAGACAGAGGCACAGTAGTTTTCAAATGATCAGCTCTCAATATGCTGGAAGAATAGCTGGGCACTGCTGTTTTCCATGTAAGTGAAAAAATGTTACTGCAAGATCCCATGAATGGCAAGAATGGGTTTGGAGCCTTGTGCTCGAGTCTGAAAGGCAACTTGGAAAGTATTTCCGGAGTGGCTCCTTGCAGCCTTCAATACTTGGATTAGGTTTCTGAAATTCTAAAGGAATCTTTTGCTTTTTTTCCCCCTTCTGTGCATTTTTGGTGCTGAACTTTTTCCGGTTTTCCCACACTCCTGCCTGTCACAGAGCAGAAACCACAAAAATGCAGCAAAGTAAAGTCTGTCCAAGGAGCTGCAATTCCATCTCGCAAGGATAAACATTTGTTCTGCCAAGAAGTGAGCACAGCGCACCGGCATCTTCAAATACACATCCCTGCTGCCCAGCAGAGCAGCCCACTGACACAGCCTGTCACCTGCACTAACATGAGCACAGAAGAAACCAGATAGCAAATCCACTATCATCTACCTGCCAGACCTGATGCTCTGATTTGCACATGCTGTGTTGACAAAATCTACTAACACCATTTTCTTTCTGAATAGTTTTGGGGATATTACTGTGCTTTCTATTAAGACAATAAAAATACAGGCAGGCAACATGTGAATACAGTTCTGCCCAAGCTCTTTAAATCTGCCTTGCAGTCCTAGATTCAACCTCCACACAGTGACTGTGCCCAACTCCAAAAGTGTCTTTTTTCAACAATCTTTTATTAAGACCCCTCTCTCCTAATCAAGGTAGGAGGAGAACACAGAATAAGGGAACCTCACAGAGACCTCTTTACAAAAAGCTTTACAAATCTGGTTATAGAGCATAACACAGAATGCAATTTTTCCCCTTCAGCATTCAGACATGAAGCAAGGTCGATATATAAGGAAAAAACTAATGAAAGATTTAAATGTTGGAATTGCTTTAGACCAAGAGGAGACATGAAAGGGCTAGTGAAAGATAAAGATTAAAAAAAAAAACAGATCTGCTGTTCACATTCTCTTATAATGCACAAAAGGCATTTTAAGAAAGTAAACTTAAATTAAGCAGTGCAACACTTCATGAAGTACACTTTGTTTTGTTTTTAAATATAACACACACTAAAACCATCTACCCTATAATAACAAGAACTGTAATCAAAAGTTAAGATAAGTTTTTTCATTATCTACAGGTAATGAGGAAAATTATCATTAGGCAGAATATAAACACTTTAAATGAAATAAACACTTATGCTTGAAGGCATAAGTTGATCATTAAGTGTTGGGTTTATTGGGTAACTTGGCTTAAGGGCAGATTAGCATTTAAGGCTATATGTGTATTTTTGGCAGCTTCTTCTGACTCTCTAGATTCAAGCCCCCATCAAAGATTAAACATGAGGGAGCGACTCAAGTGTCTAAACACAGGTGTCAAGCACCACACTGCACATTGTCAGTTATCTGAGACATCTGCAGGGGACTGGCAGATAAAACACAGGATCTACACTGGACCTACCACAGGAGACTTCAAGCTCATCTGGAGCAGCAGTTGGAGGTCAGGTGGAAAAGCCCTGGGCAACCAAAATGGCATTAGTAACTTATATTTAAGTAACTGAATCCCACTCTGGATAAAACACTGATTCAACCTAGCAGTTTCTATGTGCTTATGTTTGTATAATGGTACAGCCCTGTTTACCTTAGTGGTACAAAACATGGAGCTTCACAGTAGCGTACACCTACTAGCCAAGTGACCAGTCCCTTTTTGTGGGGAGTGTCACTTCTTTGCTGTGGATGGCTGGGAGAAAAAACTTACTTGGAAATCCTTTGTGCTGCAGTCTTCCTGACCATTGCCTGCCTGTGGTTTGCTGGAGGCTTTGGGACCAGCTGAGAAGGGGCGCTCTGGGAGGGCATCACTTTCTGCAAACCGGCTGCCTTCGGGGCACCGCCGGCGGCACTGGATGTCTTGCGGGCAGCGGAGCCAGCTGACATCGGCACGTGGCTGCTGCTGGACTGGGGGTGATTGGCAAACAGAACCTGGTGCAAAAAGGAAACAAAAATACCACAGTCTCTCTGAGTACCACTGTGAGAGCTGACGGAGTAAGGGGGCACTTCTGCAAGGGAAAATGCCTGCCTGGTGAAGGGGACCCCCATGGTTGCCAAGCACAAACAAAAAGAGTTTAATGATTAAGTCAGTGAAGTAGTTTTAAAGTTGAATTTTACACCCTTGCACACTGGGACTAGCTGATAGGAAGGCAAACCAGCTCATTGCTGTCCCAGAATGATACCATTCTGGGGAAGAGGGGAAAATGTGGAACCCCCTCCCATCCCCCCCACCCCTCCAAGATCATCTCCAACCACATCAAAGGTGGGTCCCATCCTCAGAAAAAAATATATCCTTTGTAACTTTACCCATTTTCTGTATCTACTCTGCCAAGGTATTTTTTGCGTGGGAGTCAGAATTGAGACAAAGTCACGGGAAAGAAAAATGTTATAGGAATATCTTGCAATGCCAGTTCTTCAGGCCAGCTGTCTGGGGGCTCAGAATATCAGGAGGTTTTCAGACACCCTCCATGAATAAGGAATTGTAGGTTGGCAACTGACAGAAAGGAAATCCCAGTAATATGACAGAACAAAAAAACTGTTCCTATTTCTAAAGCAGGTGGGGGTGGGGGTAAGTAGGCTGGGGATTTGATAGAAGGAATAAAACAATCTGCATTTTATGAGACACTAGAGAAGGCAGCAATGGAGCTGGCAAGGCGGGGAGTGAGGAATGGCTCCCTGCGTGAGCTCTGCAAAACACTCAAGTCTCTTTATAAAAAGGCCCAACTTGCTCAGCGTTCTGCCTCATCTTTCCTCAAATCTAGGCAGATTCCCAGGGTGAAGAGACACCGGCAGCTACCACAGCCGTGTAGCTGGTGCAGTTTCATGGCTAGAGAGTAGAGAGAGGGATGAGAAGAGCCGAGCACCCACCAGTCACCTCCGAATGACCCTGGAAGCAGAGCCCTTCGCTGCAGTTGTCCCAAGTTTCTCCTCGGGCGCAAACCACCCAAAGCTGCAGAGAGTGGGCTCCCGGCTCCAGGGCAAACCGCAGCCCGAGGCCGGCCGAGGCTCACACGGAGACAGGAAAAGCCCCTCTCCCCCGCAATTCTCTGGCAAGCGGAGGGCACTGGTGTGTGGGAAGGCGGTGCTGACAGGCAGCGCTCGAGAGAGGAGAGGAAGCGCGGGAGCCAAAACAGGCCTGTTTCCCAACTCCAGCACACTGACAGGATCCTCTTGAGCTCCCCGGTCCTTATTAACCTCTCCCTGCCCTGCAGCTCTGCCCTAATTCCAGCTTTCCGGTTTTGAATAACTAGCTGATATAAATGCAGAGAGCTGGAATAAAACAGGGCAGAGAAATGCCCTAACCACAACTTGGTCAAGTCTCTTGCACTGTAGAGCTTGAACATTAGGGGTTAGGAGATGCCTTGCTGCCCCCCTTCTTATTCACAGGTCACTTACACCACACTGTGTTGGATATTACGGATACTATTTCTTTTCAGTTCTTTTTTTTCTTGTTAATAACATCCCTACGATGCATTCACTGCTAATCCCTCCCCTCAACATGCGTGGGCACAAGGTCTGTCACTCCGAACAAGGGGCAAACACAGACTCTTGCAACAAAGCCCCATCAGCAAAAGCTGGCTGAGACCTTCCTAAAGAAAGGCTGCAGTTGTTTTTCTTGGGGATAACGGACTTCCAAAAAGGCCTTTGTCTCCATGCTGTGCTGAGATCCTGGCTGCCTTCCAGGCAAGGATGGGGAGACTGGAAGCTGACACGGACCACGGCTTCTGGAGTCAGCTACAAAGCGGGCTGCCCTGCTGCGAGCTCCGGGGGGACAGGACAGGAAACCAGGAGAAGCTACTGTGCAAATAAAAAGGACAGCTGGGGAGAGCAGGGCCTGACCGCACAAAGGAGCGTCTGCAGAGGGATTTCAGGACATCCGAGAAAGCCCTCATCGCTCGGGATCCTGCAGCTCCGGATCTGCCGACAGGAGAAGCCTAGAGACAGAGGCCGCTCCGGAGCGGTTAGTGCCTGACTGCTATTAGCACTGCAAGGAAATGATCTGTAAGCAATCTTGCCTGACAGGCAGGCCGAACTCAGTGCGGAGGAGGTGTGCTTTCCTCACAGGTTCTTTGACGTACAAACCTGAAAATACTCAGAATTATTTTTTTAATATTAATTTTTATTTCTTTGAAAGCTAAAAATCACGTAAAATTCACTTGCTTCATTGTCCTCAGAAGCAGAAACATTTGAAAAAAGAAAACATTAAATCTGCTTTGCAGGCAGAGGATCCTAGACCCTGATAGAGAAAGCCATCTTCCCTAAGCCAGAGACTGAGGCAAGATTAAAAGTCAGAAGATCTTGACTCCCCACATTCACCCTTAGCTCACACCTCTCCTGCATCCACATCTATACATGAGCATCAATAAGTGTCACCTGCACAAAAATAGTCCTTTTAAATCAGAAAATCTCAAGCACATACAGCTTGTCATTACTGACAATGCATATCTAAACGTACTAGCAAGTAGCAAACAATCTTGGATGGCTCATGATTAGAAACAGGGAGGTACTGACTTTGAAGAAAAGCAGATATATATTAACGAGCCTCAAAAACAGAAAGAATGTTCCTGGCACTGATGGTCCCTGTATCTAACACCCGTCCCTAGCACAGAAACGGAACAAATGCTGCAAGTAAAAACAGGCTCAATCTGTGACCAGAGGAGCTAATGAAGCTCATTTCCTGTGCATCTGACTTGGGGCTGAATCTTACAGTATCTAATATAAAGTATGCCCAAATCATCATGGCCTGCATGCATTTGGGGCATTCTGGTGTGAATCTGCTGCTGTTAACTAGGAGTGGCCTCATGCTGCAGCCTTTGCCTTAGTGGGAACGGTAGATGAGTCTCCTTCCCATATCCATAACTCTTTATTTTCATGAAATTAAAAAAAAAATAAAAACAGCTTTGAGATTTCTATCCCATAGCTATTCAGTTTAAATGATATCAACAAGTGTGAAGATGATGAGACATGCAGCAGTGCATGGGAACTAACAGACAGACAACACACACGTGGAACCTGACTGCACAGGTCTGTGTAGCTAGGGAGCTAATTCCAAGGCACTAACACGAGAAACTGAGATGGAGATAAACAATTAATAATGTGGAGCAATTGATTTAAAAAACATTAATAAAACAATAGCATTTTGGATGACATTACAAAATAGAGAGAATCAAAAGGCTTGGAAAACCTTTGGAGCCAAACCAATCATTTGGTGCAGATTCCTTCAAATACTCATTAATAACATTAGTTAAATCAGTGTGGGTGCCACAATCATTGAAATTAACTGCCACTGTGTTAGGCATGATGAACACCTTGAGGCCACTGACAAATTAAAATTAAAATTCTCTGGTAAATTCTTGAAAAAGGGACTAAAGTACACTAAAATAGATTCAGTGCTTCTTTCCTTGTCCCTCTTGGTGTGTGGTTTATCTTTTTAAACCAAGAGCTCTCAGAAGCAAGCATGGGGACATATCATTACACTGGAAGGACGCTTAACACATCTGGGCGTTACCGTAACTCTAATAATAGCGACAGAATCAGAAACATGGGGACGAAGCTTCAGCTGGTCTAAATCAGCACAGACGACTGCTTTCGGAACAGTTGTTCTACTTTACTTAGCCTGAGGCTTTGACTCATCACTGTCACAAGATTCAAGTAGGAAAAATGGCAGCTAGCACATCTAGAGGGAAAATAATCTGGGGGAAAAAGCTGCAAAATAAGAACGAGACTGAAGGGTAAGAGAGACTGCAGATCTGACAGTGGTCCAATGTACAACAGTCCAGAAAACAGTTAATGGTGTTTAAGGCTGCATTCAAAGAGACCCTCTGTCCCCAAGCAGAAATAATACAGTTCTAGGAATATTAGAAATACTATTTTGAACTACTCAGTGTTCCTAGTCAAATCCCATAAACTCTAGGGAATTCAGGAAAATCTTACATAAGTCAAAGGGAAAAAACAAAAGTTTGCTAAACTTCACAAAACAAGGAGTAGTTGAGAGAAGATACCATTTTTAAATGGTAAAAGAAAATTATTTTGAATGAATTTAGCTCAACTTTTTATAGCATAAAATCAATTTCAACTTTTGAATGAAAATGTGATCACAAGTGACCATACAACTCATTAACAAGATTTATGCCTTGCTTAACATGACCTTATTTGATACAAATAGGACTGATGAGTAACATTCCACTATATGACTGATTTTTCTTCTTTTAATTTAGCTTATTTCCCATGTGAAATGTTTGGCATAAAGCTCTAAACCCGGTAGGTGCTGGGCTAAGCAGACAGAGCGTAGCCACACAGAGGAGGAGGAACCTCCCTAGCAGCTAATGGCATCTTTCCAGTACAGGAAACAATTAGAGAATAAACACCGATGGTATATTAACTGCCTTGCCAACTGCAGCAGCGATACTAACATCTAGGTCATAACATGTCACACAAAGTCTCTTTTAAACATTAAAAATACTGCTATAAACCTGTTTTCATGTCTTTTGTTTTGATTTTGTAATCCTTGTTCCCTGATTCTGTTGATATCATATTCAAGCCTCTTGTCTCCACCTTCCAACTCTGCCTCTATCTATTTTATCTCTTTTCTCAGACCTCGTGTTATATTTATTCCTTGGTCCTATCACTGCACAAACCTTTATCTATTTGTTAGACCCTTATCCAGCTGCACTTTTCTTCTGTGCCAACCCAGGCAATGAAATAGATCTTCAGTACCAGAAGAGATATTTCCATCAGATTACCCTGCATGAACTGCCTTCTACAAAAAGTGGAAAGTGTTGGTTATTCTTCTTCCTCCTCCATCTACATAATATTTTTTAATTCTAAAAATTGTGAAATGCTTGGGGGAGGAATCATCATTTTTAAGTGTCTGGCAAGAGTGGGTGCTACCACAAATGAATGGGCAATAAGTTCTCATGATCAGATATCTCCCCTGCATGGTTGGGGAGAATATTCCTACTACACAAATACTTGGCTAGGAACTTCTACCTGTGTTTCCCAACACATCCAGCACATCTCCAGGATATCAAACTGTGCTACTAATGATGCTACTTTTGTTACTTGTTCTCATGCTCTTCCTACACAGGGAATCAGTCCAGCTATCACAAAGAGAGGGGGGTTTATCACATTGTATGACCATGCCATGTCCAGGGTGTGCCTTCAGATATCTAATAAACGCATCCCAGCTACTGACGACCAGCTCGTCTGCCTTCCACACCATGACAAGTGTAACCATTAGGTCATAACCATTCCCCTTTGGGGGTACACTTCTTCAGCTGATGGAAGTAAACTTCCACAGTTATGAAGTTTATGATAAAGTGGCTCAGTCAGAATGACCACATAGCAGGGACGTAATTTTCTGACAATCATCCTGTAACTGTCTGGCAGCAGCCAAGATTAAAAACGTGGTCTCACAAGCTCTACAGCAGTCCTCTGGTTAAGCAGCTCTTTAATCCTGGTTAAGATTATTTGAAAAAAATCCAGGATCCACTAAAAAGGGTGAATTCAAGCCCACAAAGTCCTGGCTAAGATAAAGTCCTTGTTTGCCTCTTATCATTTCTTCTCCTTATAGCCAGGCTGTGATGATAGCACAGAATCTCCAAAACTGTCCTTCTAGATCTCCCTCCCCTTGCAGGGCTTAAGTTATAGGAGACACAGAAACAATGTCAAGATAGATATAGATTTTTTTTGGCTTTCTGCAATACACTTTCTTAGATTAGAGTAACACTTGCTGACTGTGTCCTGACTATTCTATTAGTGCTATGACTGGGCCAAGTGTAATCCTTTCCATTGTGATGAAGGCTTCTTATAAAAGACCCAACTGAGACTAAACTCTGAACATTACCAGTTCCATGCATCTTACTTCCAGAATCATACTAGGCTTTCCCCATTTCCAGCATCCATGCCAAGCTGCTGATAAAAAGAGAGCAGGAAAAAAAACATGATGCTGTATCAGAAAAGATCATGACAACTGGGAATCTACAGAAGATGGAAGGGGAGATTTGGTTGGCTCCAAAGTCCAGTGGAAGAGGGAATGTCTAAGAGAGGATCATTTCATTAAGATGTGGCTTGCACTACAGCAAGCTCAACAGCATCCGTGTTCAGCAAATCTTTCTTTGTTCGTGGCAGTTCAGAGGAGCCGGAGCCCTGCAGCATGGCAATAGTCTCAGTGCTGTAACTCTGACCTGCTTGGCTCCCGGGGAGAAGGGAGGGAGAGTGGGAAGGGGGATGCTGTGGGGGTGAGTGGAGTTTTAACAAAGAATCACTTTAACAGAAACTCCTGAGTAATGGCTCTGCCCTAGGCCAAGAATAACATCAGCTCAATGTCAGCAATTAGAAGAGGGCTCAGTCAGGCTCCCCGGCCAGCTCCAGCCTCCTCACAGGCACAGTCCAGCTCACAGTCCACTCTGGAGCTCTGAAGCAGCCTCTGCTGCCCACCCAGAGCCCCTCGGACGCAGATGAAAGGCCTCCTGCTCAGAGGGGCAGCAAACAGACTGGAGGTGGGGGAATTTGGAAGGGGAAACCACATGGCTGAGGGAGGGCTTTGAGAGAAGGAGTGTGAGGACCAAAGGTGGAAGTGCCTCTCCCTCAAGGCTCTTCGAAAAAGCATGGGGGCAATTAGACTGTAAGTCATTCTCATGGAGGCTGCCTAGTGACTCATCTGCTTCACAGGGGAGAGAGTGCGTGTTCAGACCTCTGAATATTAGTTCTGCTCTTGGTTTTATTGGAGTCCAGCCCTGCCAAATTGCCCAGCTAATAGGTTCCTCCTAACGCAGATCAGTCTCTTCTGTGCAGAGATTTATTCATCTGAAGACCTCCCTTTAACAGGGAAGCCTTTGGGCCATCAGAAAAAAAAAAAAAAAACCCAACTCATTTCCCTCACCATAATAAGAAAGGTAACGACAGCATCAATGAGCTCATTCTGACTTCGGAAGATTCCCCAGGCAGGGTGCAAATGGTATTCCAGACACAGTGGTTCGCTAATGTCATCTAGAAATCACGTAGGACATCCAGAATACAAACTCATTTTCCTATTTCCTCTAGCTCTTGGGTACGAGGAGCCATACATCTATCAGATAGCTCAGTGCACAGCAGTGAAAGATCTTTAACGTAACAGCAGCAAAATGTGCAGGGAGCCTTGAGCAGATTTTCAAGGCTGCAGGAAAAGCTCACACCTGGAATCAGGGTCAATGGCCACATCTCTTTCACACTTAAGGCTCTTAAAAGAATTTAACAGTTTAATTTAACATTAAAATTAACAGAATTTCTTCAAAAGGAAGATTAAGATTCTCCTACTTGATTTAAAACCTGCTCATTTGATGACTGCCCATGAAGACATTCAGGAGAACAAGTTGGTCCAGATAAGGACCTGATGGTGTCTCTTTGCCGTGAATGGATACAGGACACAGCTGTCAACACAATTTCAAGACCCGTGTTTGGAAACATTGAAATGCAGTGACGACCCAACTTGAAGCATTACCTGATACAACCTTAAATAAAAGCAGGAGTGATAGGATTACCTGACACAGAACATGGAAGTCTATAGAGAGTCATAATGACGTTTGAAGCACTATGAAGTGATACACCAGCATCAGCCCCAAACTGAGGCATTAAAGCAGGCAGCAACACGCTACTAGGCAAACAGAGGGTGCTGCTGACATAGTGAAAGAGGCCAGTGGCAACCACAGAATCAAAACATTATGAAAATCACTGCAAGCAATCTTAATTCTGTTGCTATAACCCACTGCAAGAGTTGCTTCCTCCACAAAAGCGACGCCACTTATGTTGGCTCCGAGCCGGTCCTGTAGGTCTAAGACTCAGCACCGCTGCCTCCCATTCTCCTTAGTTACCTGGTGCCGAACTTGACTTTGTTCCAACAGCTGTCGAGACTGAAGCTTCTGCTGCTGGAGTTGCTGCACAGCAAAATGGAGCTGATAGTTGGGATGGGCCAGCTGATTCCCTGCCATCTTGTTGTAAACACTGCTTTCCAACTCCCCTTCCCAGGAAAAATGATCACTCTCCGGAGCCCTGAGAAAAGAAGAGCCATCACATCTTCATCATTTTGCATATACCATCTCTTGCTTACAGGGCACTGCCGCTTCCTAAAGATTCCTTACTACCTCACCAGGTAGGAATTTGTATTAAGTAGCCTCTGGCAAATGCAATGCTTCTCACGGGTGCCATGTGCCACCAGTGACCTTGCTAAGGATTTTCTTGAATTCTGGACTGGGACTGTATTACCAGCCATAACTTCATACTTGAATGAGAATAATGGAAGAGAAAAGAGAGAGAAACCTCCCAAACTAAAGCAGGTCCACGACTGATTAACGCTAGAGAGAAGCAGACTTGCACAGAAGAGCTGAAGATTCCTATCATTAGGGAGACGGGTGTTTGTATTCAGAGACATTTTGTTAATTCAGCTTCATAAGGCTTATACCTAGTGTACATAAGTGGCACTGAGGGTGGAATGTAAGTCCACCCTCATGTAATATAACAAGTACACGTAATATAACACAAATACATGTAACACTCCCAGAAGAGACGAAGGGCTGGCAGGGCAAGGCTGCAGTTAGGGCAGATATCGCTTCCATACAATTACACATCAAAAGACCTGAAGGGACTGAACGTGGGTCCATTTCTTTCATCAGAGTAATGTAAGCCTAGCTAGCAAAAGCCTCCTGCAAAGAGGCAGGAGTCCTTACACCACAGTCACACAGGGTGGTACCTCAGCTGTGGCCTGCGATGTGATAAGAGCCAACAGGAGCTCCCGGCCTTGCTTTGAAGTTTGTAAGCCTGGGCCAGAAGGCAGCTACAGCACACGGCTGCACAGGGCCTAGGGGCTTTGCACAGAGCAGGTGGCAGAGTGACAGGGCCACGAGGTGGCCTGAGGAGGCCACGGTGTCCCAGCAACACGCACATCCTGTGCTCAAAAGACAGGATGCCATATGGCCCCCTGAGGCCCGACACTGGCTAATAAAAACTTCTCCTCGGTGCCTGAGCCTCCCAAGGCCCTGCTTAGCTGCGCCATGACTCTCTCAGCTACCTGTTCCAAATGTTTCCTTGGGGTTCCTCATGCAAACTCCCCTTGTATTCCCAGTGAATGTCATCACCGTCTGGCATATAAGAGACACGTTGTGCTTCTGTTTCATGCCATGATGCAAAGTGTAGGCTGTGTTTTTGGCAAGGGACTTACCCCAGGCTCATGTGAGCTCCTATCACACCTCAGATCTTTGAATGTGTCACAGCTGCCGCCCAGGGTGTTGCCGCCTCCCCCGTAATCTTCACCATCAGAGCAACCCCTTAAAATGGGGTCATCTAAACAATGTTCGAAAAGAAACCTGAACAACTCGGCCATCCCTACGTACTATCCCTCAGTGACGGTCAAATGTGCCCCTTTCAAAGAAAACTGAGGGCAAGGACTCTAAATTACCAGAGAGACCTTCTCCTTCTCAGGTTCTAAGCTCATCAGAGGAATAAAAAAAGTCCATTAGAAAAGGAGTTCAACTTCTAATACCTCCACCAAGCTTCCCTGGGGACTCCTTCTGCTTGGAGCATCACTGCTACTTTGCTGCCTATGGGACACCAGCTGTAGGTGGTCATTACTCGATGGCTCTGTGCAAGTGATGCCACCCATGCTTCCTCAGCCCGCTGCTTCCACTCTACATGGCAAGCTGCATAAATGACTCTTGCTCTCTACTCCCTTTTGCTCTCTCACCCTTTGCTGCCTTGCTGTTTCAATTCTTCCCCTTTCATCAGTGCTTGCAAAACTGCAATCTTGCAACCTTGTACTTGGGCCCGGAACCCAAGTTTCTGAATGTGGTTCTGTGGTTAACCTTGGGAGAGCTGCTTCCCTCTTCTGAACCTGCTGTTCCCTTTCTGCCCTCCTTTGAGGGCCAACACCACCTCTTCTTACTGCTTCAGTACATGATTGCTCTCTAACATCAATCAGTGTCTGTAAATGCTATTGTGAAGCTTAAACATATAGATACGTATATGGCTTCTGTTTTCCAGGGTTTCTCAGAATCCCCTCTTAAAATAACTCCTCCTTTTTAAAACTCCCTTAGACGCTCTCTTTTCCTCTTCATTCTATTACAGTATTCCCACTCTCTCTCCTCTCAAACAAGATGAGCACAGGGAAATTCTGCAGTGGTTACATCCACGCTGTGTGTATTTTTATAACCCTCCCCACGGTGGCGGGATCCAGGCTGTCTCCTGTTGGGGTTTTACCTGCAATTGCTCAGTTCTGCACAGGTACCAGGAAGCTGTGCGTGCTGTTGGCTTTCCAGCACTGTTCCCTACAGGGCACAGAATGCCACAAAAAGCATAAATTAAGACGGACCCAACAAAGCAAAAGGAATCCTCAGCACGATCCCTAGCTGCCTCCTCTCCCACGTGCCCAGCTCACCGCATGGGTTATCACCAGGTTGCTGTCGTGTGGGCTCCTATCCCAAGGGAAATCGCTGCCCCTTCCATTGCACACATCCCAGTTCCGCCCCCCACCAGATGCTAAAGCTCCCTGAGTGACTTTGCCAGCATGCGAAGCAGCCGCAGTCTCCATAACCCTCCTGCTACAGCCAGGTCATGCAGGAGGATGAAAAGCACGGAGGCCTGGGCTGGACTGTGAGGCACCCGTTGGGAGATGCCCGGGAGTCCCTGCAGCCCAGCACTCCCAGCAAACACCCGCTGCAGCGGACACGAGGCGGATGAGCCACAGGCAGGAGCTCTGGCAGTGTCACCTCAGCTCTCACTGAACAGCCCAATCAACTCCACTAATGGCCCATCATCTTTGATACCTCCATTTTGAGCAAAGCAACATTCTACTTGCCCCATGGAATTCTCCATGGAGTTTTCCATGGAATAATGCTGTGAATAGTGCTTTACAGAGGCAATTTCTCAGCTCAGAAAGATTTGACAGTGTCACTCAAAATGTCCTCTCAGAAATTAAACCATCCCAGGATTCAAAGAATACTTTCCTATGCAGTTAATAACTAGTTAAAAGATAGGAAATAGAATAAAAATACAGTTTTCATGGAAGGAATGGAATTATAGCTTTCATGGAATGGAAGATGATCACCAATGGCTGGTGATCACAGAGCCAGGGAATCTGTGCTATGCTGATCTCTGATTAAACTATAAACTACTTATAGTTTATTAAACTACTTATATACTAGTTTATATAACTATATAGTTATATACTACTTATATACTAGTACTTATATACTACAGTATATATTATAAACTACTTAATATACTAGTTCGCAGTATATTAAGGTACTTATATAGGTACTTATAGTTCCTATAAGTAGTCTACTTCTTAGACTACTTATAGTTTATAGTCTAGGGAAAAAATGAATTTCATTCAAGTTTGTTGAATTTGTTGTACTCAGCTACAGAAAATAGTAAAAAACAAAGTCACTAAAGAAATGCAAAAACCCCTTCATAGTACGGAATGATTAGACATTAAATCGGCAGGTGAAATTCTATTTAACAGCTACAACATCATGTAAACAGAAAAACACAATTCTGGTTTTACACAGCAATGGGGTTTGAACTAGTTATTCCCTTTCAGGAAATACAACTTACAGCTAGAGTTGTAATAGACTTTACTATGAAAATATCAGTAAATTACAATCAAAAAGTAAAACAAGTGCTTGGAATTATTAGCAAAGGAATAGGGAACAAAACTGAGAACACTATTCAGCTACCACATAGAACCAAATTACATCTGTGTCTCTCATACTGAACCTAGTTCAACCCTTGTGCCCTCTCACATCTCAAAAAGCACACAGCAAGACTGGAAAAAGTATAAAGAAATGCTGCACGGATGACCAAAGGTATGCTCTACCTTATATACTCAGGAATGGCTAAGTAAATAAGGACTCTTCAGCCTGGAAAAGAGACAAGTGAAAGGAAGTATGAAATATCTACAAAATTAGGAGTTTCCAGGAGGGAGAGGAGGAATGGGGAACAATTATTCACTGTCGCTCAAGACAGAAGAGGAAGGTCAAACCAGATGACATCCTCAGGTGGCCAGGTTAGAGCAAACAAAAGGAGATACTACTTCTGCTAACACATAATAAACAGGGGATGCCATATTAACACAGGAAGCTACGGATGCCAAAAATCTAGAGGTTCAGAAACGATTGCACAGATTTATGGAAGCAGAAGCCACTAAACACTATTCACATACCAGGATAACGCCGCTCAGCCGGACTGTCCCTGAGCTCGGATTGCTGAGAACCAGCGAGTCCTGGGGAGGCAGCAGCCCGTGGCGTCACCCAGTGCTCTTCCCTCAGCATCTTCTAGGGGTTCTGAGCAGGGCATCGAACCACACGGACCCCTGGTTTGACCTAATACAACCAGGACTGCTTTATGCACCAGAGACCTGAAACTAAACCCATCTTGGGTTTGAGGGAGAAGCTGGGGAATTCAGTCACATAGCCTTTAAGGCAAGCAGGCAAGCTACAAGACTGTAGCTTGTTTCAACTCTGAACCTGCAATGCATATCTATCCTTTGATCCCAAAGGATGCTTGGGAAGCTCAACATGGACTGATCCTCTCTAAAACATGGAAGTCAAGGAAAAATGGAAGAGATGAAACCAATGCAAGTGAAAACTCCACGGAAGCAGTTCCTGCCTATACCCAAACTGGCTGCGTGCCCCAGAGAGGACACAGCGACTACAGTCTGTAGCAGAGGGAAGACCACTAGCTTAATGATAAAACTTTAGATTATTTCCTTGATCATTATTTCTTCTGCTTTGAGATACCCAACATATGATTTGTTGTTACAGAAATACAGAAATTGGGGACTTTTTTTAAATGAATGTGGATTATTGCCTGATCCAGCATTTGTCCATTTCAATGGCCTCTCAAACACTTGCCTTTAATTTCTAAGCTGCTTTAACCTACTTTTTCTGATTTAACCAATATATCATCTCTAGCCTAAACAATGAATTTCAGAATAGAATATCACCCTGTTAAATCTGGTTTAAACCAATCAGGAAAACACTCTGGAAATGACAGTGTCA